TTAAAATTAATATTGTGGATTTAATTACAAGAGTTTAATGATGAGAAAAATATCTTAAATATAGAATTTAATGAGAGAGAATAGGAAAATATTTTTATTTCTAATTGGTTTTAAATTTTACATCCATTTCCATCATTAATAAAAGCATTTATTATTTATCATACTTATTATTGTTTAATATGTATGTTAAAAATGTTCCCAATTTTTTTAATTTCTATTTTTTATTTTTATTATTTAGTCGTAGCAACATGGATTAACCTATTTGACCCAAAATGATTTAATTTCTTACCACCACCTAGATGAAAACACTATTTTTTCTAGGTAGATTTTAAAAGTATAAGCTTTTATGTTATTGGAATTATTAATTTATTAAGTATGGATTTAATAAATAGAACTTAATGATGAGAAGAAACAAAAAAAAAAGAAACTTAAATATATGATTCAATGAACATGAATGCAAGTTAATAACTTAAATATTGGATTTAATGAGAGAGAATTGAATATCTTTAAATTACCTCTTTTCAACTCATTTAATATCAAGAACCAATTACCCTATTTGCCCTCATTTTTTATCAATAAATTTAAATATAGAGGGGTAAATTTTGTCCTTAAAAATTATAGAAATATTCTTGATACCATTCGTGCTTTTTAAAGTAGTATAGATTGTTAATACCCTTAATGACTTTGTTATCACCAAAACACATAAAGTCAGCATCAACTAAGGAAGGGCATAGGCTTAGTTTGAGTTAGACCACCAGGTGCCTCACCCAAAACCCAATCCAAAGGGCCAGGCCATTTCAGTTCATTCCAAGATTGCCTTAAAATCCTTACCTTTTTTTTTTTTTTGCTTTTTTAACTAAATCCCATAAACAAATTCATTGCTCCAAATCATACAACACAAGAATAATAAATTCAAGAGTGAGAGAGAGGGAGACCAAGTAAATGGTCAAGAGAGAGTACAAGCAAGTTTAGAAATCATATGAGCCTGTCCATCTGTCGTATGTGGAATGAAGGAGACTCAAGTATGTGCAAATTCAACAACTTCTGGACGATCAAATCGCAAGGAATGTTCGATGTAGAACCCACTCTTGTAGTTGCGTACAACAACACTAATGCATAGTTGCATATAACAACACCAACACCAAAGCACATAGAACTGGACACCCCAAGGTCTCTATTATCCTTGTTATATAGGTTTATAGTCTTTATAATCAAGTGCCATTGGTGAGTAATGACTCAAATTCATTCACTAGGGGCTCTTCTCTTATCATTGGCCCATTAGAGACTCAATCTCCTATATTCGGTGTCAATTCTAGTGAGACAACTGCCTCATCTTCTTTGTCTCCAAGTGAGACTACACAATGATCAATGAAGGGTAGCCCATCCCCATCCCTTAAGCTACCCTCCTTAATGGCAGTGAGATTTAATCTCAGGTCACCGTTACAAGTCAGAGATCCTACCTGAACCACCGCCATCAGTTGTTGTTTGTCTCCTATTTAACCTAAAACTAGTACTAATGTTATGCCGACTACTATGCCAAATGTGCCATCCAATCCTACCGGTACAAAGCCCATGGTCATTGGGAGTAAATTAAGGTGGTATCTTTAAGCCAAAAAATCCACATCTTCTTGAGGTTGAACCTAGTTGCTTTTCTGAAGCCAACAAGAGTTTTAATTACTAAGATGCTATGGCAGATGAAAATGATGCTCTTTTACATAATAAGTAATTGACTCTTATTCTATTTGAACCCCATATGAATCGTGTTAGTTGATAGCAAATTTACCATATCAAGTAGGGGGTGAGCATGGGTTGATTCCGTTGAGTTCCAAGGCAAAACCTGGAGAACCAGAACCTACCCTTTCACGAACGACCCTAAGGTTGATCTTGGCCTTGGTGGTTCCAGGTCATTTCTAGGCTCTATCATGGAACCTATTCTTTATAAAATGTTTAAACTTGATTGTCATAATATATTAATATATAGTTCAAAACTTGTCATTATGATTCAAACTTTGTAAATATTACATCGCACATTACTTATTATATGCATTCAATTATTAAATTAAAGGAAAAAGATTAACTTGCTTAAGTGGCTCCATGGTAAAGTGAGACAATGGTCTTTGTAACAATGAATAGTTAGGCTCAAATCTTAACATCCTCAAAGTTTTTTGGGATTTATTTTAAGGTATATTCGGTTCCAAGATTGATTCTCTAGGCCAGTTTTGGTAGGGTAAAACCCCTAAACTTTGGAATTGTCCTAGGTGGGAGCTGGGGTCGGTTCCAGGAATTTCAAACTAGACCCTACCCAGTAGAATATTGGATAAGATCGATTCAGGACTGGTTTGAGGTTGATTCCATTTGATTACAGGTAGAACCTACCCATTTTTTCACCCCTATAATATCAATAGAAATTCTGCTGGGTACATTACAATTTGCACATTGTAAAGAAAGGTTAGTGGCTTGTGGTTTTAATCAATGGGCTGGTCTTAATTGCACTAGGACCTTTAGAAAGGTTATAAACCCCACAACTATTTGTATATCTTGAGTATTGTTCTCTCTCTCAACTAGCCATTGCATTATACTGACATTCAGAATGATAGAAGATGTTTATATGAAGCAGCCCCCAGTTTTATTAACCCCAAATTTCCATCCTGCATTTGCCATCTCAAAATATTGTTATGTGGTTTGAAACAAGCCCCTCACGCTAAGTGCCAATAATTACAGTCTTTGTCCATTCGTCACTATGACAACATTACTATGTCAGTGTTGATTTATGTCGATGACATAATGATAACTGACTCGAGTTCCTCTATATCTCAACATCTTATTTGCATTATGAGTTCTAAGTTCTCGGGAAGGACCTTGGTCCATTACCCTATTTCCTTGGTAGAGAATATTCGTGACTCCAACGGTCTATTATTTTCCTAACAACATTATATCTCTGATCTTCTTCATTGAACTAAAATGCATAAAACTAAACCTGTCCTTACCCTATGGCACTTTTGTAAGTTGGTGAAAGATTCTGGTCATCCATTCTCCAATCCAATTGAGTTTAGAAGTATTATTGGTGCTTTACTTACCTTTACTAGACCTAATGTCTCCTAAGCAAGGTTCAAAATATTGATATGTCCGGTGTATTGGGCAAATCGATACTGCGTTTTATTGGTTTTTTTATTTTTTTTCACAACCGGTTCAGGGGGCCGGTTTAGGACTCCACCCCCTGAACCGGTCAGACCCCCGATACATCCACTGTAGGGGCGTATCGAAGGGGTCCTAGAACGATACGGGCTGATATGTACCGATACTTTGAACCTTGGTTGTAAGATTTGTCATTCACGCGCTCTCCAACTCCTAATTGGATTGATGTCAAACATTTATTATGATTCCAAAGGTATTGTTTCATGGGTTTCCCTTTGTTCCTCCGACTTCTTATCTTCATACTTACTTTGGCATTATCCAGGCTGGCTACCCCAGTGATTGGCGTTCATAAGCTTTTGCATCTATTAGAGTATTAGGTTCTAACTTGCTCTCTTGGTCTTCCAAGAGGGAAGCTATGGTTTTTCTGATCCAGTGCCAAAGCATTGCTTGTGCTACTATAGAGGTATTTTGTATGATTGGATCTCATTTCTTCTCTATGGGCTTCAATTTTCATTGTCTCAACCTACGTCCTTATGGTGTGAATTTATTGTGATAATTTAAGCACCACCTATCTTACATAAAATCTTGTGTTGTAGCCCACCCATATTTGCTATATCAAAATTGGTTTTCATTTTATAATACTTGGTAGCCAAAAAAGCTATTTAAGTTCGGTTCCTTTCTAGAAAAGATCAGCTCACTTCTTAGTACATATTTATTAAAAAAATTTGTTTTTTTAATTAATATATTTATAAATGCTAATAATAAGAACAATATTACTCCCAAGAATCAAGAAAACCCATATACATGCATATCTTTAGTTCTATGGCTTTTTCACATTTTCCAAGTGTCTTTAATGGTTCACACTTCACACCAAGGATCAACACATATCGCATTGAATCATGCATATCATACCAGTATCGAAACTACTGAATTTGGAAAATACTAAGAGTTTTGGCATTTTAATGTTTTCAAATGTTAATGCCCATCCTTAGTTATCCATCTCTGAGCTATCATCCTAAAAAATGTGTAAAAGGTAGAGTATCACTACTTGGAAACGCACAATATACTATCATTGTCTATTATATGTGTCACTATTTTAAACCTTGCTTCACATAAACAACCAAAATATGTATTTATGTGCATGTACCACGTATTTAATCATCTTATACTCGGATTCAGTGTTATTGCTGCATTTTTCAAGGATTCGTTGCAGTTTCTCTAAAATATCCATGTGTAATCTGATTTTTTCCCACCAATGTGTACCCTAATGTCTCTTAAATTTGACTTTTCTATATTCTGTGTTTTTAATTCTTTAACCTTGATTGTTGCTTAACAAAACTCAATTTAAACTTTTACCTTTCCGAAACAAAAAAGGCCAAAGCATGTTATAATTCCAATATACATAAAATAATAGTAGTTGGAATTTAAATAGGCATGAGAAAAAAAAAAAAAAAAAACTATAATTTGAGGCCAAAAGAGACTTGACAAAAATAGCAAGCCAAAAGGCCTACAGCCCCTGAAAAGGGAAAATTCTTCAACAGTAACCCAAAATCCAAAGCAGATAAAAAAAATGCTCAACCCAAAAAGATCAAGGGCAAAGCTTAGTTTCCCTAATTTTCAATACACTGTATCTTTGTAAATTATAACCCATGACCCAATGACCAGGTCAAATAGATCAACAGTTCAACCACCTTAGTCAATAGGTCTCTCACCAAGCCAACAGTTTGACCAATTTTTGGCTTTAACGAAAACCGGACCCAAAAAAATGTTAAGTGACAGTTATAACAGTTCAACCATCCAGATCAATAGTAGGCTGAAAACATCTTAAGAATTTCTCGTAATAATGGGTCATTTGATGATACAAATGTGAAAAGGATTAGAGTTTTGCTCAATAAAAACTCTCAATATACAAATTTTGCATATAGCAAGTAAGGATAATTTGAACCATAGATACAACACCAAACCCAATCCAACCCATCACATATAGAACATATATACTCAAACCAATGCCATGCATATAAAACGTTTCAATGTTGAAATGTCAACAGGCTCAATTCCAACCCGACCCAAAACTTCATTGATGTTGACTTATGTTTACCACTTAACCCGACCCAATAACACCCCTACATCACTAGATGCGCCAAAAAAAAAAAGGAATTGGTGTCAGGAAGACGATCCAAGCACTTGAGCCCAGTTTTAGTGAATAGACCCCAATAATTTGTTGATTTGATCCAGTCAGTTGACCTGTTTGCCAACCGTTTAATTTTCAGCATTTTTTCTTTAAATAGATATAATTTCAAAGGAAACGAAAAAGGAAGTAAAATAACAATTACGCAAACGCTAAACAAATTATACTAAATAGTCATAAGGTGGAATATATTTACAATAAACAAAACGATTAGATAAAGTTCGTGATTCCCATATATACCTCCTATTCATTCCACCGAAATCCAACTCATCACTTGGACAAAAACAAAGAGTGTCATCAAAATTCTTCCGTGCAGATGGTGAGGCGGTCGAAGAGGTAGAAATCTCATAAAACTATCAAAACACAACCCTTTCAATCCCAAGTAACTGAGATCATCGAGTTTGCCAATCCCGACTCCTCAAAGGTCAGCTTGCTGTCATAATCCAGAGACTTTGAAGCTCCTGGTATAGCTTGAGTTAAGCGGAATGGCCGTGCCTCTGACTCTTCAAGTTCAGCATGGCAGAAGGACCAAAGTAACTGCAATAACACAACGACCAAACCATAAAAACTGATGCTACAAGGAACTTGGACAAGGCTGGGTTAGTTAAACAGATGGATATTTATAGTGTCCAAGTGCTAATAACAAAATAAATAGAGGAATGGTAATGGCAGCAAAACAGAAACTATGACATCGAGCAGACTCCAGTGTTTTCGTTTGCCAGGGCTGTCCATCAGAGAATAGTCAGCCTTTTCTTTATAGTAGCAGAACAGAAACTATAGTTTCTTTTGTGGTGATAGGTATAGAAGTGCATTTGCCCCTCTTAACTAATGCAATATGATGACTCATCCAAGGAGATGAATAATTCAATTCAACATAGAAAGTGTTGATAGTTAAAACCTGTATTGGATCCTTGCGGAGGAAATTCCGCTGAAGCCTACGTCCATCAGGAAGGCGGATACCAACCCTGCAAAGGAGGTTCCTGTCACCCTTGGGCTCTTCAGGCAGAGGTGGATATGTAGTTTTCTTAGCAGAGCTGCTTTCAGCCTCTTCAGTTTTGGGTTCCTCTTTATCAGTGTAAGTTGGTTTTGTGTTTTCCATAGATGCTGCCAATGCTAGTAGAACCTCCTCGTCCTCTTCGTTGGTTTCCTCTGCAACTAATAAAGCAACAAATCTCAGGACTTATCTTTATTTTCCAGATTTCATGGTGATACACTGGAGAAGTTGTGAAGAAAGAAAAACACGACTCAGATATATCTCAAAAGTAAATTAATCGTAAAGAAAAAGTAAAGGCCTATGAATTGGATGAGGAAGCACCTCTGACTATTGTCAGGACTGTAACCAGGTCAGATTAGGACGGATCACAAGTTGTATTCAAGTTTGATTCGATTAACAAAATACCTTAGAGTGAATTTGATTCAATATCCAATCTGACCTATGGGCTATTGGATTATATTTGAGTGCAATTAGGATTTTGGATCTGATCTAAAACAAATTATCCAAATTAAAAACAGGGAATGTGGAATCAAATCTTAACAAAAAAAATCCTTTTCTGTCCATTAGGTCCTCTCTGTAACCAACTTATGTTCAACTACTTCTAAATTAAGGTTTAAGCATCTAATAATATTTTTTTATTAATTATTAATGCTATTGAGGAAAGATTTGTTGTAAATAAAGTGGTTTCTTTCTTTATTTTTCTTTGCATTTATACTTTTGTATATATAAAGTGGTTTAAGCATCCAACTCATGCAGTTAGAAGTTTAGTGAAGACTGAAGAGTTCAGTCAATTTGGATATGCTGGTTAACAAAGAGGTGGAAGTCAACAAAACATTGCGGTTGTTTTTCTTGGGACGGGGGAATGAGAGGAATTTGCATGAGTTTGAGAAGATTCCTAGGAAGCTTAAGGAGTTTGAGAAGATTTCTAATGCGGTAAGGAGCTTCAGGAAGCAGAAATACAATTGAATGGTGCAGGTTTCTAAGGTTTTTGCAAGGGAGAAAGGGGGTTTTATTTGGTGTGGATCCTATTAAAAAGGTCACCAAAAAAGTGCTCCAAGAGAAGCAAAGACGCTACCATTCACGAGCTAAGCAATGGAGCCAACCTCTTTTGTGCAGGTGCAATATGGTCTTTTTTGAGTTTGGTTTCTTATAGTTTGATAGGGGTGTGTGTGGCTGTTGTTTTCTTGTTGGTAGGGAAGTATGGTGTTGGTACTGCAAGTGTTTTATCATTTGGGTCTGCTGTTATTTCAATAGGGTTTAAAGTGGAAAGTTTTGTCTTCTGGATTGTTCTAGCCAATAGTTTGCCAAGGATTAGAGTTGGGTGGTGGCAGCTGTAGGTTGATTTCTCTTTCTCCCGGGTGAATACTGGACACCTTTCAAGTACTTTCTATTTTTTCCTTTAATAAAATATTTTATCTACCATAAAAAAATGATCACACAACCTGGTGATATACTCAGCAAAGTGATGTGGCTGAAAGAAAAAAAAAATGCCACCTTTTAGATACAGCTCAATCTCTATTGATACAAATGAATGTGTCTAAAAGATTCTAGAGTGATATGGCGCTTACGACTTCTTTTCCATAGTTTTTAAGGTGTCAAGACAAAGCTACGCAATAGGGGGCACCTTGTCACCTAGTTGCCTAGGCGATGGAATTTTTTACATAGAAACCATGAATCCTAGGGTAATTTCCTTGGTTCCATAGCAACTATAAACCATCTTTCATTGATTACCTATAAACTTCATAAAAAAAGTATACGCTTCAAATTAGAAAATAGAAAATCAACATATTTATGCGAAGGAAAAGAAGAAAAGAAAATTCAGAAAATATAGGGGGCTAAGCACCTATTTTTGTCCAAGAAAAGGGAGAAAAAAAGGGAGCGGGGCGTGATGATGATGATAAAGATCAAGATAAAGATAAAGAACGGGTTGAGTAGACAGAATTTTAAGCTCTTGTTTGCTTGTTGATTCAGGCCTTTAAGTCTATGAAAGTTCAATATAGCATATGCCAACAGCTCCAATAGGATCAGGAATGAAAATTCAGGCCTTTAAGCTCTTGTTTGCTTGTTGATTCAGGCCTTTAAGTCTATGAAAGTTCAATATAGCATATGCCAACAGCTCCAATAGGATCAGGAATGAAGTCATTCAAAGGAACTTAGGAGTAGCTCCAATTGGTGATAAAATGAGAGAGAGTAGAGTAGACTAAGATGGCATAGTTGTCAAGGCAACAACTAGGTGACTAGGTGCTTTCCAGACCTCGACTCACCAAGAAGACTGACAATTTTACTATAAGGCGCTTGCCCAGAGTATTAGGCAATCACCTAGGCGATTAGGCAGGTGCCTAGTGCAATAAGTCCTGATAAATTTTGGATCCAATTGGTTGTTATATCTTTTTAAGATACACCTTTTACATACTTAAAAAGTCTTATTTTTAAATCTTTTTAAGATGCACCCTTTACATACATAGTAAAATTGTATTTTTAAAGTCTTATTTTCTTTTGTGTAGGGCCTTTTTTTCAACTATTGTTTTTTATTTTTTGACAAATATTTTTCAACTATTGTTTGTTGTAGGGTTTTTCTTACATTCAACCAAACACTAAAGAAGGAAGAAGGAGAACTCCATCGTTCTTCAGTCCACCCAGCCCAAACCTATTTTTTCTTCTCTTCAATGAAAAACAGGGGCTCTACCCTGAAGGGATAAGAGATCCATCATATAGATGGCCAAACCCTACAGGAAGGTTGGGCGAAATTTCAAAAAATTTCTCTCCCATCTGGGAATCGCATTCCCTATTTTAGAAAACTGCATTTTCAAAGATCAATCTTGAACCAAACTGGACCAGATCTAAAACCAAAGGGGAGGAGAGGGATATAGCTGATACGGAGTAATAGTAACTCCCAATGAAGGTGTTCACGCCCAAGGAGAAAACCAAAAACTGCTTCCACTGAAAATGACACAGTGTGAACTGAAGCAGAATCAGCATGACGGCTCTTCAGCAAGAACCGAATTCTTCAGCAAGAATAGGGTAGAGGGCTGGTGAGCACGACTTTAGATTGCTTCTTCTATCAAAAAACAATATCAAAAACAATTCTTGATCACTCCCACAAGTGGAGATCGAATTGGGTAGGGGCGGCAAGAACAGGGAAGAACTCTCCACCCTGCTTTCTTATTTATAGCCTTAAAGAGACAACCTCCTAATCTGATTAGGAGTTTCTTGATTCAAATTTTTATTTGGATCTGGATTCTTTAAGTGATAAGGATAATCCCTTATCTTATCGGTAGTTTAAGATCATCTTAATCCTAATCAAATTAGGAGTTTCTAGATCCAAATCTTAATTTGGATTTGGAGTCTTTAAGTGGATAGGACTTATTCTCTTATCCTTATCTACTGATCCAAACCCAGATTTGCCCGAATTTAATTAATCTAATTAACCCAGTTCGAATTGGGCTTTAGGCCCATTAAGTTTATGTGCTCACTTAACCTCTTAACATAATACCCAGTTGGCTCTCCTTGTATGGCGTGGGACCCAAACATTGATCTACACATCAGCCACATGAGTTCAACCCAGCCTTTGTTACAAGGCCTAGCCGAATTCACTGTAGGAGACAGTGAAACCCTAAGTCCATCACCATGGGCTCTTAATGAGCCTAACATTTACACTAAATGGTCCTTTGGTCCAACCACCTTATGAAAACCCAAGGACTGTGGGCAGATGCAAGATTAGCCCATTAGGTATTACCCTCAGTGGTCTTACACTTAACCTCTTAGCCCATAATGATCAACCACTATCCGACAAGAGAGGACCTCTCCCTCGGCTGCAAGGAACAGTGTTGCACTCTCTACTCACATGGATCCCGGGAATTAAAACCTTTTGCAAACATTTTGAAACCATAATATGTATATATGTAATCTTTATATAAATATATTTTGCAAAACAAATTTCAATGGTTGAAATCAACTGCCGGCAGTTTTAGGTTTTCATCAGAGAGTGCATCCCCGATCATTCACTTTGTATGACAAAGGGGTTGATCTTGTCACTATGATCACCCACTCAGATGAATTCTCGAACTATTCCAACATGACAAGGTTTTAACCCCCTCTAAGGATCTCACTGATTGGCATATTAAAGACAGCCCAATCCAACACCTAGTGCAGTACCATAATCGAGTCAATGGGTCAGGTGTAACATTCCAGTTTTGCCCATCTATCTCCAAGGTTCAGGGCAATACTGGAATTTTGGTCTGGTTCGGGGTTTTAAGAAAACCCACATTGCATGTACCTCAGGTCTCACCCTGACAGCTGAGACAAGCCACCCCAACCAACTTGGTGGTACATCAGTGTCAGCCTTGGCAGGATAAATCTCCCTGATCTATCCAACGGCTGTGAAGATTCTAAACTAACACGAGTCTCNTGATCTATCCAACGGCTGTGAAGATTCTAAACTAACACGAGTCTCATTAAGTATCTAGTTTAAGGGTATTACACAGAAACACACCACAATGACACAAATCAATTATGTACTTTATTCATTTACAATAAATGTCAAAAGATACATCAATCTGATTGGAGCTAAGGGCATAACTGTCTAACAGTTCCCAATTGCACTTAGGTCCAATCGGATACAAGTCGGAGTCCCAAACTTTCCACGTGTTTCTCAAACACTTTCTGGGCCAATTGCTTAGTCAATGAGTCTGCCACATTCTCCGTTGATGCTACTTTTTTAACATCAATCTCCCGTAGATCCAGTGTTGTCACACAACAGTGGAATGGGTGATGTGTTGAATTCCAAATTCCATAATGAACACCTTCATTCTTTAGGCAGCTTCACTTACAGCAATGTGTTCGGCTTGGGTTGTAGACTGTTATTCTTACTACTCAGGACCCCATTGTGAAGATGTAACTAGATATAGTCATTCTACCATTTGGATCTGACTGGCAGTCGATATCAGTATAACCTTGGATCTATAGTGAACTACCATTGAATACCAGACAAAACTCTTTTGTCCTTTGAAGGTATTTTAGTATGTTTTTCACAGTGATCCAATGCTCCTTGCCTGGATTAGATTGGTATCTACTTACCACACTCACAGCTTGAGAAATGTCAGGACGAGTGCACAGCATGGCATACATGATGCTCCCTACGGCTGAGGCATAGGAAACCTCT